ATAAGCTAGTTTCATGGCACAAGCAAGCATATATTGAATTAAAATAGTCAACAAAAGAAAAGCCTCAAAAGAATGAAAAAGACTTGACCCTTAGAGGTTTGCTACACTTATTGTTCTTCAATCATCCACTTGATCAGTTGCATATCTTCCTTAAAATCACGAGTAAACAGGAATTTTTCATACCTCAAGCCATGTGTTTTGGACCTAACGCTCTACAACTATGAGATTATTGGGCAGTTGTGAACAGGACTTTTTCATACCTCAAGCTCTCGACCCATGTGCTTTCAACTTAATGCTTTACAATTATAAGATTATTGGGCAAATTAACTCAAACATCAACTTAAAATAGTTTCACTTAGAAAGTATCATCTATCATAACCAAAGTAACAAAAGAAATAATCCTCAAGTAACATAGTTTGATTACAAAATAGCACATATTATGATTAAAACTAAAAACGATAAATATAAACTAACATGGAAGGATATTATGATATTTGTAAACGAGGCCATAATCAATGAATAACATGGTTAAGCCAAGCACCTGCCTTTTTAAACATCCATTCAATTTCCTAGTTTTGCACACCATCCAACGCAAATCAATTCAACCATAATTGAATTGGAGTTCTATAAATCAGGACTTGTAATTTTAGATAGTAAAATGTGACTATGTTATAGAATTAAAAAGACGTACAATAGTCCATCAAGTTTGGAAGCTGAAATGTTGCAAAAATAAAGCCATGAAATATTACCCCAGTCCTCCATCTAGTTGCGTTTGCAATTTGGATCTCCTTCTATCTTCAAGACAAAATGTAAACCTGCTTTTGCAAATATGCAAACAAAGAAATGATTGGATAATGGACTTCAATGCTAGATGCAAAATATAACATAACATCAACAGCATAACTCAAACAAAGAAGAAAATAAGTTAGGAATAAAACTGTCTGCAGTTTGGAAAAAAACAAAAAAAAAATTGTTCTTTTTGATAAGCTAATATTTTCTGCAAATTTAAAACTTTGAGGAATCATTTTTCCCTCTCAAAGGAGAACTAAGGAAGAAATAAACTGTAAGAAAGGAGGGGGGGAAAAATGAACCAAAAATAAACAGAAAATAATCATATATGGTGAAGTTTATCAGAAAGTTCAACAAAGCATCAAGTCTTGCAAAAGTCCTCTCAAACACCCGCTTCCTTTAAGATGGGCAATGCTCCAATTACATGATTCAAATGTAATGGGCTGGATAAAAAAGAATCCTGCTCAAAAAAGCTTCACATTGTGACCTTATTTTGGGATTGGACTTCATTCATGAGCTTAACAAGTTCCTCTCTAGAATTTTCACCCAAGAGGCTATGACTAAATACCAAAAAGGTAGAGAATTTACCTGCCTTTAAACTCAAAAGAATAATGTCCAGTTGCAATCTTCTAGATGCAATTGAAAGGTGTAGATACAAGTGTCCGTCTTGGCCACATCACCTCCATGTCAGCTTACCAACAACATGTGTCATCCCCTAATAGACACGCAGTCTAATGACACACAGCCATGTGGACATCCTTGGACAAGCCAGCAAACCAAGGAAAGATTGTGCAGTACCTGATAGCTAGCACAACCGCTCGGTTCTCACTGCACATCTTGCCACGCGGTCCCCCCCTCTTTGAGCAGCCACCCAACAGCTGCTCGATTCTCAAGATTGATCTTTGATGCGACTCTCTAACTTCTTGATTGGTCTCAATGAGAACTATAAGCAACCATCAATTCACACTCCGTCCTAGAAGTGTTAACCTGGGTTGGGTAGCACTTTCATTGGGAATCACTAGAGAACTGTGACTAGGCGGCTAAAGTCAAAGGATCATAATGTTGCTTGGCTCACCCCAAGAGGTGGCCTCACCTTGACCAGTCTTAGAGAGCAGGGCCATGACCAAGGGGTTTAATATCTCCAACAATGTATCATACCTACCTCAACAGATATTATGATACAATCTCCCATGCTTATCACATTCACACCTACCCACTGTCATCTCCATAATAAATCTTCCAAGACCTAACTGTAGCAATGGACAGTTGAAACCTCCGGACTATCAAACCAAGGAAGATGACCCACTTATCCACGGTGAGCTGTCCTCCATGGTTCAACCCTCCTATAAAAGGGGTCCTCTACCATGTATGCAAGACACAAGCAAGCCCATCTCTCCTCTAGCAAGCTTGAGAGTTCTCCATTGCCACCCTCTCTCTATCTAAGATTGTTTTTCCCCACTCCTCCACCTTTGGTGATCTTCAACCATCTCAGCACCTACCATCTTCCTAGAGGGTCCATCACCAACCACCTCACCATCCTCCATCCACAAAGGGATGCCAAAATAGAAACACATGGGAACATAATTTCTAGGGGGACTTACGTGTCAGTCCTAATAAGTGGACTCATTGTTCAGTAAGTATTATGATAATTAATGGCATTTTTCATCAAATACTATTAAAAAAAAGTCACTAATTATTAATTTTTAGCGACAGTTTAAAAATTTTATCACAAAAAACGTCACTAAATTATAAGTTTTAGTGATAGTTTAAAAAAATCATCATAAAAAAAATCACTAATTTTTAACTTTCAGCGACAGCTTGAAAAATTCGTCACAAAAAAATGTCACTGATTAGCGAAAATTTATAAAAACTGTGACAAAAAAAGTCACTAATTGTCAATTTTTAGCAACATATGCAAAAAATCATTACAAAAAATTATTTTTAGCAACGATTTTACTAAGACTTATTTTTAATAGGACTTGATGGGAATTAAATCCAACTATTAGTACCTATTGTAGTTTACCCTAATTTCTATGATAAATTCGATCATGCCAACGAACTCATACTTTCCTTCTTACTCACTTCAAGCAAGAAACAAACTTGGATCAAACCCTCAAAATTTCATTTTACCCCATTACACAAAACTTAGAAAAGAGAAGCCCCTGAAGAAGTAAAATTTGATGACAAAACCAAGCATGTAAGTTAACAATAATGCTAAAAGTAGGAATCAAATTTCAGAAGTTACCTATCCTCAAAAGGAATAGATAACAAATTGATGACCTAACCAAGCATGCAATGCTTGCCTAAAGAAACCAAATGAAAGCATCCGAAAATGCCTCAAAGGAACTCAAAAGAAGACCAGGAATTTCACCAATTACAAAACACCATGATACGAAACTAAGTGTGTTGCTCACAACATATGACAAAGAATTGCCAGAGAAATTAACTGTAAAAGTACACCAAAATCTAGGAAGACAACAAAACAACAACAAAAGACTTCTAAAAGGACCCTACCTAACTAAATACATTTAGAAATAGTGTTACTAATTTGGAGCACACATCACATCTCAAAAAAGAAGAAAAAATTCAATCCTTTGGTTAATCAACTCCTACAGAAGTAAGGGTTATGTTTTGACCAAATTACAATCACCCAAATAATCACTAGACTAAGGCAAGACAAGACAAAGAGAAGCATAATTTTCCTTTATTACTAGCAATTTGTGCAACCACACATGACAAGAAGCCCTCATCCCTCATAAAGTTGGATGCAATATAGCACAAAACTCTACAAAACCATCTTTTCTTCTCCAGCCAAACCATAGCAAATAAAACTTTGAATCTAATTTAAAAGTTAAATCATTAATCAACATCTCAAAAAGGCAAGAACAGAAAATAGATATTAAAGTAATTCATCTAAAGTGCATAATTTAAATAAACAAATCATACTTTCTACACCATAATATATTTACTGATGTTCTCAACCACATGATCCACAAATTTTAAAATTCAGGATTATAATTTGGAGGAAAGCCAAGAGATTTTATAAGAGCGAAGTAAAAAGCACTAGGTTGAGAGAGAAGGGAAGAAAGAATAATTATTTATCTATATCTATATCCATAACCATACAACTATAAAATGTTACTTATAGGTATAATCCCTACTAAACTTCACAATAACAATATTATCCTCCATAGCTCCAAAAGGTTTGTAAAAATGAATATAACATACTCCTTATAACAGTTCTAATCAATTATGGTGCTGGATTATCGTGAAGGCTACAATTCAATTCCATCTCATGTCATTTAAAGTCTTTTAAAATAGTCCAGCATTGTCTATTTTTTATTTCAATTAAAACAATTTCACGGAATACTGCTCATAAACAATTTATTGTTAGTATATCAAGATAATGATTTCAAGTAATGTTCTAAAATATGGTCAATTGAATAAACTGCAGGAGAAGAAGGGTGAACGGTCAACTGCCCGATCAACCACAATCAAACCCGGATGTCATAATCATATATTCATATCATAAATAAAATCATAACAATCAATGAAACTGGAATAACATAAAACATGATCAAGAGAACTTTTTCCCCTTATCCTTGGTATTTAGCTTGTAAAATTACCTACTAATGTTCTTAAATTAATCATAAGTTTTATTGGGTTATATAAAACTAACTATTATCTACACAAACCAAAAATAAATAACAATAACTTTAAAAAAAAAAAAATCGATAAAACACACAAAACCCAGGACGGTTTAAGAGGTCTTAAAGTTAAGATGAATGATAGAAACTCACAGTTTACAAGGAGATTGGGCTTCAAATAGTTGAGTTGGTGACAAATCAAAAATTGACACATGTCATTGTGGTAAATTGCCAGATTCTAAATTGTGGGTCACAATCTTTTTTCTAAAGTTAAGAACTAGGACATCATAATAATAACCAATTTAATCACCAGCTACTAAAATCGCTTATACAAATCGATCAACTCATCATATAGATTCAATTCATCATAATTTAAATTATTAAAAAATATTATAAAATTTTGTTACCTTTCGGTAGATGATGAGCTCAAGCACGAAACTAGTACAATCAGCTCCCGAAAAACCCTAGCTTTTTTGAAAGATATATTGTTGAAAGATCACAGATAAACCGCAGAGACAATGATATAAGTGTGTGTGTGTTGTGTGCTTTATGGATGTATATATATATATATATATATGCTTGTCGATTGAGCGATGAGATCAGTGATGACTTTGGTGAGAATCAAAACGGGTTTTAATGGTCAGCAAAGCAGAGCCCTTCTTTAATTGTGGGTTAAATTAGGGTTGGGACTTTCATCACGCAAGGAACAAGAGAAACGACTAGATATCTCATCAATTACGTCACCACCTCTAGAAATTTGTTCTAAAATTTCATTTTGAGAAAAATTCATTTTTATTCTTATATTTTACCTCGATGATTAATTAGATTTTTAATAATTTTAATAATTTTGTTCATTTTTCTTGTTAATGATTAATTAACAAAATAATTAAAATTTTAATGAACAAACCTATCCTAAATAATGTTAATTATTAAAATTATTTTGTTCATTAAAATTATTTTATTTATTATTTTGTTAATTTTAATTATTTAAAAAGATATCGTGTTAAAAAATTCATTTTGTTCTAATCATTTTGTTTAAAATTAGACATAAAATATCGTGTTAATTATGATATGACATAAAAATACCTATGTAATAGAATAGAATAGTTTTTGAAAATATTTAAGAGATACAATTGATTATAACAGTGTAAATTGACCTAATTAAAAAATAAATGGTTGAGATTGTGAAAGGAAAATTGAGTTCCTATCCATTATATAATTAGTAAAGTATTAATATTTTCTTTTTAAAAGTCATAAATCAAAGATTTTATTGATTAACATATTAGATGTGATCAATTTAAAATTTTAAATATACTAGCTAGAGTCCATAGATTCTTTTTTTTCTTTAAAAAGGAAAAAAAAATTACAAATTTAAGTTGGAGCTTTTGGACCATCCAAAGCCTATGATGTTGAAATGTTTTTTTTTGCTTTATATATATATATATATATAACCAACGGGATTAGTTTGATTGCCTAGAATTCCTACATCTTACTAGAAGGTCGGTAGTTTGAATTTCCTTACTTGCATGTAAGTCTTGTTTTATGTGTATTAATTGGAACTTTCTCTCCCACTTTTGGAAGTTTCTTTTAGGGCTGTTCAAAAATCCGTTCAAACCGGTAATCCGGACCGAACCAGACCGAATCGTACGGTTTGGTTCGGTTCTATTAAGAATTGGTTCGGTTTCGGATTAAGAAATATGAGAACCGTAAAAACGGTTCGGTTAATGGATTTTATGAAAAAACCGTAGTTCGAACCGAACCGAACCGAATTTTAAAAGATATATATATATAATATCAAGTTTTATTTTTATTAATTGGTTTTTTATAATTTTAATGATATTAGGATAATATAGATATGTAATATTAAGTAATGCCTTAATATTATTAGTTTTTATCATGAGTTAAATGTAATTAGTTTGAGTAATTATTTTGCTAATATTAACAATTTGTTTTTGTAAATAGAAATTTTTGGAATCGTAAACCAAACCGAAACCGAACCGTTTTTTCGGTTTGGTTCTGGTCCGGTTTTACAAGTGTAACGGTCTGGTCTGGTTCTCAAAATCACAGAACCGTTAGGATTGGTTCGGTTCTTGGATTTTCTCAGAACCGAACCAATCCGGACCGTGTACACCCCTAGTTTCTTTGCCTTCATTTGGCATAAGTTAAAATGAGACTTTTTGACTAAAATAGTCACAAAAATACAAAATAGATTTTTAGCTCAATAAGACAAAATGTCACATCTAAATCATAATCATTTTATTTTTTTTTCACAAAAGTCAAAAAAATAAAAAAACCTATCCTAAATAAGACTTTTTAACTCCAAACTAAAATAGTCAAAAAACTAAAAAATTAAAAAATCAACCCACATCCCAAACGAACTCTTTGTAAAAGTTTATATTGTATTTAATCTTTATTATTATAATTGTAATTCATTGAGTTTCATTGTAATATCTTATATGAATCAAATCTAAAAATATAATATATATATATATATATATATAGAACCATGCTATCCACGGTTTTGAACAACTGTCTAAAATTTTATTTTGAAATAAAATAAAATAATTTATAAAAGAATAAAAAAAGTTAGTTAAGATTAAGTTTTAATATTTTCAACTAAACTACACTAAAATATTATATCTATTTTTTTGTTTGTGTGCGCACTACCATTTATATTTTGTTTCAAGTATTTTATAACAAATGCATATTCATAATTCAATTGGTAAAGTTAAAGCAAGTAAATTTGTATAAATTACAAAAATTATAATTTTTGTACAACATAATTACATCCCGACTATAAAGTTTTCATAATTACAAGAGACGTAACAATTTTATCTGATTATTATTATTATTATTATTATTATTATTTTGTCTTTCTTGCCCTTCTATCATTTCTTTATTATTGTTTTTTATTATATTTTATTAGAAAATTTTAAATTTTTATATGTATTTTTTTATTGTGATGATAGATTTTAAATATAAAAGAATTTGGCAGGTGGTAGTGATGGTTTTTGGTGATAGAAGGTATGTTTGGATTTTGGGGATTAACTACATAGCCCAAAAAATAAAGAGAAAATTAGTTTAAGGTCCCTATCTCATTTTTAGTAATGAATAAAGTCTACAATATTATTTTATGATATCTAAGGTCCCTCAATTCTGACCCCATATATCACAGAGAAATTTGACAAAATGTCGAATGAATCAAGCATGAAAGCTTTGGCTTCATCATCATCATCTCCAGAGAGACCAGACCATCGCTAGATTCTTCCAATGCTTCTCTCTTCTCTCCCCGTTTCTCTCTCTAAAATCTCAACCAAGGAAAATCACAACTCTGGTGAAGAAGATACAAAGAGATAGATACGAAGTGATTTCGATCTATTGCCTGAAACCAACCTATTAGGAAATGCTATGTCCATTGAAGAATTTTGTCAAGTTGTAACTCTGATTTGGTGGTAAGTTCCAACAGCAAGACTGAGGAACTTACTATTGGGAAAAACAAATTAAGCACTGAAATAGAAGAATCACATCCTAATTGCCCAGCATAAAGTCCAGGGAAAATGTCTTACAATCCACAGAATCTACAACGTCTTCAGGTTCAAAAGAAAAATTAGTTAGTTCTATATCCTCATTGTTGATAAATGTATATATATATATATATATATGCACATACTGTTTGCGTTGACAGTGTTGAATACAATGTTTCCTACAAGGCAGAGAAATTTTGTGTTGACAGTGTTGAATTTCTCTGGATTTGGCCACTTTTCTATAGATTTGGCAATTTTTTCTAGATCAAATTTTCTCTAAATTTGACAAATTTTGTGACGACCTCGACCTCCGAACTAGCATATTATGTTATTTTAATGAGTTTAATTGCATGATTATGTGCTTAATTGTGTGACTACATATTTAATTCTATAATTATCTGTTGTCATATGGAATATCTGTTAAAATTGACAACTTAGAGCCAGAAATTGAGAACCTAAACGACTTCAGAAACTGAAATTGTCTAACCCAATAAGCTAATTAGAATATTTAGAATTTTATGGTAACTTAATTGAAAATTTGATTTGGATCAAAATAATTAGAATAAATTGATTGAATTAGTTAGAAGTAAGTCTAGTTAATTAACCTTAAACATATTTAACTGGGCTAACTTAATTACACCTTATATAGGGCTCTAATTAAGCTTATAGGCTCATTTTTACAACTCTCAGCTGAGAATTAAGAGAGAAGGGAGGAGAGTTCAACATATAGAGAGAGAAACAAGGAGTCTTGTAGAGAACTTGAGGAAGATTTGAAGATTGGAGCCATTATACACTTGAATTCACACATTAGGTATGAAATTCATCCTAAATTCTTAGAATCAAGTCATGTAGAAGTTGTATTCATCAAGGTTCTGAGTTCTTTTGTATGAAATTGCTAAATAAGAGCTTCAATCACCTTGAGTTTGGAAGCTAAGAGTTAAATATCTACATGCATGCATAATTTGAGTTAGAATTCATGAAATTCCTACATGCATGGTTCAATTATACCTCAATTTGGAGAATCCATCATGTTTTCATACTTCTCATTTCACTTGATTATGTTTTGAATATGTTTTGAAGAAATGTACACTTAATTTGAGTTAAACTTGTTTTATAACTTGAAGTTGAAGTTTTGGTTGAGAATTTACCATGATTTTGAATAAATGGTTTCAAATTGGAAGTATTTTCATGTTATATAATGATTCTTCAAGTTTTTGTATCAAAACACAAGTTTTGAGGCTTTGAATATCAACCTTGAAGATCAAATACAGTTCTGGAAATTCCAGAATTCGTGCTATCCGCTCGAGCGAGAAAAGCCTCTCCCGAGCGTGAAAATCGAGCTCTCAGAAGTTTTATAAATTTTTATAGGCTGCTCGAGCGACCAAAGTGGCGCTCGAGCGACGACCATTTTTCCCAACTTTCGACTCGAGCGACCGTCAAGCGAAAATTTCTTGTAACCAGTACTTTTACAGACCGCTCGAACGACAGAAGTTATGCTCGAGCGACCATCATTGTTTTTAATCCTCCGGTTGTTCAATTTTCTCTGGTTTGTTGTTGCCTAAATGGCTTACAGTCTGGTTTGATAAAAAACACAGAGAAAATTTTGAGCAAACTAGAGAAAATTAGTCAAAAACACAAAGAAACTCTCGGGGAAGTCTAGAGAAATAATTTCTTTGGAGAGAAAATCATCTCTAGGAGGTCTAGAGAAATTCTCTAGAAAGTCCAGATAGGAAGTCCAGAGAAATCTTCTGGGTCAAATTTTCTCTGTATCAATGTAGAGGGACCTTAGACATTATGAAAATATTGAGTGTCCTTTATGTTATAAAATCTTAATATCAAGGACCTTAAAAAAAAATCCCCAAAAATAAATGAAATACTTAAAATTTTATATTTCTTTTAGTTTTCATAAATTTCAAATAAATTTTTTTGTTTTTCATTTTTGGGTTGTGAAAGAGAAAATTATTGAACTAAATTGTCGATTATTAAATTTAAAAACTTATATTGATTAACAATTTGTTTGGGTGGAAAGAGAAAACTAATTAAAGCACGATCCATAAATTTAAATTTATTTATTTTTTATTTATGAGCAAAAAAAAAGAAAAATTAAATGTAAATAGTATGCATTTTATTTTAAAATAATATATTTCATTGCATGCATAGCACGGGTTACATGTTAGTATATATATATTTTTTGATTGGCTATTGAAATAAATAT